AAAATGTTTTATATAATTGTATATTAAATATTTATATTAAATTATGATATATATATTATATTATATGTAAATTATATAGTATATTATATATGTATTAATATGTATTTATATATGTATATAATTTAAAAATGTATAAATTTTATGTTTAAATTATTATATATGTTTTTAATATGTATTTTAATGTATATTATATATGTAATTATAGTATATTTATATGTATATAAAAAAATTTTTTAAGTTAATAAAGTATTTATATATTATATATATATGTTATTAATATGATTTATATGTATATTATTATGTATTTATAAGTATTTTATATGTTATTTTAAAGTATATTATAATGTTTTATTTAAAATTTTAATATTATATTTTTTGTAATTTTAATTTTTTTTATATTATAATATATGTTTTATATAAAATATTTATATATTATATTAATTTAAATTTTTATATATATATGAAAATTTTTATTGTATATTATTGTATATTATATATTATATATTTAAAAGTATATTATATGTATTTATATTATAATTGTTTATTAATAGATATTATATATTATATTAATATTGTATATTATATTTTTATAAATTTTATTTATGTATAATATATGAAATAAAATATTTTATTATTTTTATATTTATATTATAATATATTTTATTATTATGTATATATATATGTAATATGTATTATATATGTATATTTATATTTAATTATTATGTTATTTATATTATTATTTTTTTATATATATATGTATATTTATATGTATATTAATATTTATTTTATTGATTTATTAAAAGTTTTAAAATTTTATTTTTTATTATTTTAAAAAAAAATGTAAAATAATTTTATATGATTTTTAAAAATGTAAAAAGAAAAATAATTTCTATTGTTAAATATAAAAAATTTTAAAAAAATTTTTATTTTATTATATTTTATATAGTATATTATATGTATATATGTTTATTATATATGTATATATGTTTTTTTTATATATTTATTGTATATTATATATTATATATGTATATTATATTGTATTTTATATTTTATATTATTATTTTAAAATTTTTAAAATTTTTTTAAAGAAAATAATTTTATGTAATAAAAGTATAAATTTAATTTTTATATTTTTAAATTTTTTTAAAAAGTTTTAAAAAGAAAAAATTAATGTTTTTAAATTTGGTAAATAATATGTAAAATAAAAGGAAATATTTTATATGGATTTTTTTATTTATAGTATATTTTTAAATTTTTAATTGTATTTTATATATGTATTTTATATTATATTATATTTTAAAATTTTTAAAAGTATATTGTATATTTATTGTTTATATGTATATTATTATGAAAATATGTTAATTATGTTATTTTATTTTTATATATGTAAATTTATTTTAATATAAGTATATTATATATGTTTAAAAATGTTTTTTTTTTTATTTAAATTTTTATAAATTTTTTATTTTATATATTATATTTTTATTATTTATATATATATTATTTATATTATATAAAATTTGTGTGTTCTCGTGCCGAATATGAAAAACTGTCAGTTAGCAAGAACTCTTTCAAATGAAAATCCTTTCCAAAAAAATTCTCTTATCCGTTTAAAGGGTTTTATTTTTCATATGTTAATGTAAAAAAAAATAATTTTGTACCAAAAGAACTTTAGAAAACTTACTTAACATTAAAACAAACGCAATTTAATTCAGCCTAATCTAACTAAAATATATTTTTTTCGGTAGGTTAGAAGGATTTTTGCAAAATTATTGCATATACAAATTTTCACTTGCCTTATTTGGCAAGAAGAGCTTTACTATTAAAGCCAAAATCGCAAGTTTTACATATTCGGCACGACACACACACACACACACACACACACACACACACACACACACACACACACACACACACACACTCACACACACATATATCATGAGCAAATGTCATGGATAAAATTGCGTGAAATTAGCATATATAGTGTTTAATATACTATTAATTCCGTTATATTATTCTTATATATTCCCAGGTGCTTAGAATATGGTGTTTTATTTGGTACAAGTGTGTGAGAGGCGGACTGGGAACATATCAATCTGGGATGATAACAGCACCAAAAAGAATAAATCGAAGACAGTGTTAGCATTGAAGGCAACAATACATTGTTATCAAAACCACACCAGCACAGATATGACAGTGGTAAATAATAAAAGTACACATAACAGAAGAACAGATGGACTGCAGAGCACGGATATAACAAAGAGCTCACGATAACACAAAAGGACCAAGTGCAGAGTATGGGATTCACGTCATATTACAGTGTTAAAACAGAGGTATTAAAATTGCAATGTCACCAGGACAGACACAGCTCAAATGCTCACATCATTATCAACAACTAATTTACAAATACACAACTTAAATAGCCACCATATGAACAAAATGTTTACAAATACAGAGATCAAACTGTCACAACAACAACAAACACATTACAGATATAATTCATACAGTCACAGCATCAACATGTACATGACAAATGCATGAAAAAACTAATGAATGAAACAACTCAAAAAATACAAAATAATAAAAAATCAAAGAAAATTAAAATTCCAATGTATTTAAAATACGGATATTAAGGCAAATCAGAATAGATTTAAACAAGATGTTCTAATTGAGAAAATATAGAGGAACAAACGAGAAATATAAAATCACATAATAAGATAAACGAGAGGAAAGAACTGGCAAAGCAAAACACGACGAAAAAGTGGAGGAAATAAACTGAGAGACCGACCTACACTCAGGACTAAAAGAAAATATTGGTAATAAGCGAAACTTTTAGGGAAAAACTATCAATACTGATAAGCATTTATTGCGAAGAGAAACTTTGCGGAGCAAGCATTTGTTGGGACAACGTTTCGCTTTATGTAGATCTCTATCAACGCTAGTAAATTCTACACATTACAAAAGTGAAAGAAAACAAATAAAGCTTTTAAGAATATTTAAACAAGTGTTTGAGAGCACGTCATAATCTGATGCTGAACCCAAGTAAACAATACAAACAAGACAGCAACTAACATGAAGTAGAGACCAGCCAAAAATTAATATTTCAATATAAGGAAAGACGAAAGAGAATTCGAAGTAAACGATAAATAAGAACAAGTCCGAACCAAATGTTCAGATTTGTAAAGCATAAGTTTAATGTGAAGGAAGAGTACAGATTAGAAGCCAAAGACTATTATTATTATTATTATTATTATTATTATTATTATTATTATTATTATTATTATTATTATTATTATCGAGTTCCTTGTGTGTCTGTTACACCTGCTGTCCCTGGTCACCTAGCAGTAAACAGGTATCTAGTTATAAGATCTACTTTGGGTTTGAACAGTGTTAAATAGAAAGGGTAAAAAACTACTACTGGATGGTGACAGAAGCAAAGCAGTAATGACAGACTATATATCACCTTGGGTCCTGACGAATATGCACAAGAACAATGCTTTTTGATCTTAAGACGTTGGAAATTTCATTAAAAAATGTAAAGTAGTGAATTAAACTGGATGAAAAGACACAGAAAGCCTATAATAAGAGATATATCAGGTTATCGTATTGCAAGTTTACAGTAAGCAAATGTTATACTAAAGACTTAGGTTACTCCATGCGTGTCAGTCATCCCCTTGTCAGCTGGCTACATCTGCCACCTCACGTCTGAACTCTAAAGTATTGAGCGTCCTCATAACAAGTCTTGCAAAGCCACTACAAGAACTCAAGAGGGGAAATGACTGAACTTATTGGTGGAAAAACAGAATGATAATCACCACTCAGTTTGCCTTCAAATCAGCAAATTCCTATAAATTAAGCTTATCAACTGGTTACTTTGTGAGCATTAAATCTTCTGCTTCACGGGGATCATTGAGGCTGTTTCCCTGCACATTACCAGTCAAGAATACTTAAATGCCTTAAACTAGGATTAAAGCATAATATCTTTTTTTTGGTGTATATACATGAAGGCGGAGTTATACACGTAATGTATACATCCTCTCAAATTGTAATGCTTTACTTGAATTTCAATAAAGATTTTGTTAAGAGTTCGTCGTAAGGGGCACGCCTAAAAATTACAAAATGTAGGTAAAATGAAAAGTAAACATATTATGAAGGATGAGAGACTTTGTGTATGAAAATTGGGAAAAATAACACAGGGTGGGTGGAAGGGTGTAGTAACAGCACGTACGAAGAATAAGTTTCACTGAAGCAACAGCAACGTTTCCCTCTGTGTAGAGCTTTATCGAGTCATGTCTTGCTGAAGCTTTACACCGTCACAATAAAAACTTGTTATGCAGTTTGAGTCTTTGTTTTCATTCATTTGTGGAATAGTGTGTATGTCCTCGTGGAGAAATGTTACCAGTGGGTTCCAACATGGGTTAGTGTCAATTCTGATAATGCTTTTTATTTATATAAATGATTCACCAAAAGGAATAATTAACCAGTGGAATATACTTGCCGATATAAAAATCTTTTGAAAACTACGAAACAAAGTGACGATCAAAGCTTACAAGAAGAGAGGCTGAGCAAGGAACATTATCAGTGGATGATGGAATTAAGTGTGGATAATTGCAACGAAAAATAAACAAAAGAAAATCACAACGCCATGAATGATATAGATCTTGTTCTGCAATGTTAAAAAATACAGAAAGACTCCGGGAGCACTTACAAATCAGTTATTACACGGATCACATATAACAGAAACTCATAAACAATAGGGGGTAAACGTCAAAACACGATTAACATATGTACATTGAAATGGCATGAATTATGTTCTCTTTGCAAGATAAAATTTATATTATGCAGCTACAGAATGGTGCCCAACAACGATATAGCGAAAGAATAGAAAAAAAACTTAAGGCAATCATGCCAGCACATCCAAAGATACATCAGCGAAAACAGGAACACATCACCTACAACACAAGCACAACAGAGAGCCAGCCATCAAGCAGTATACTTACCCGAAAACTAATCTGGCCGTTGCTATTTAAGTCGAAGGCCTTAAATACATGATGGGCGTACAAACTGGAGTCTGCAACGAGACATGTGGGATATTATTGACTACAGTGTCTTATGGTACGTGTTCCTCCTCACCACACACTGCTAAAGGTATTACCTTCTTTTACTGAGTTTCACTATGAGTAAGGCAAAAATCAATTTATTTGATAGTTTTGTTTAGAGAAAATCATAGTCTATACATTAAGGTTTTCTAAAGCTTCATCAAGTCATTAAGATTGGATAAAGCTTTCTAACCAGCTCTTAAGTGATCGTATTGTGAAGCAGGCAGATGTATTTTCTGTCTGATGGTGGACCCACGCATGTACGCTCTCATTGTAATCCTGGCCACCTATCAAGCAGCTTGTCTGGCAACAGATCAGGCCCCTATAGGGAATAGAGGATCGAGCCTGGATGACTCACATTGGTTTAGAGCTCCATGGAAATTAATATGCTGTTAAACTTTAAAGGTCAACGTACTCGTTGTCCATGTCGTAAGGATGAGATGTAAGAGCTCGGCTAATATATTTTGTTCGTTTTGTGCGAAAGTACCTTTGTGTTTTCTCACTACACGATCTTCAGAACCGTGTAAAACGAAACTTACAATACCGTCGCTGAAACACCTAACATCCAATTTTTTATTGTATCCTCTACATGACTTGACAAAGCTCAACCCTGAGCGAAACGTAGTCCCGATAAACCTTGTTATGTACAGGGAAGCATTTATTGAGGCAATGTTTTGCTCTATATAGATCTTTATCGAGTTGTGGAGCTCTACACAGAGTGGAAAGTTTTCCCAATAAAAGTTTATTGGGCAGCTTGGATCTTTTTCTTCCGACTTGTCGGTAAAACGCTATTTGATCTGTACCTCAATCACATTGCACTAGACAAGAGACGGAGTGATACTTGTGGCTTTATCGGATGGAACACATAGCGCAAGACACTGCTGACATCGTTGCAGCTAATATAAGGGGACAGCTATTTTACCCTATAGAAAAAAAAATCACATCACTTGGCTTTTAAATGCAACTATATCCTAAAGAACCTTTTACTCTCAAAAATATATGCATATATACATTTATATATATTCAGCATTATACAAAATTTACATTTTATCTACAGTATATATCACCAAACGTGTTTAGTCTACACATTTCATTAAAGGAATGCACGCTATCTCTATACTAAGATATGAAAAAAATTATTCTAAATTCTCACTAACTGTACGTACCGACTATCCGAGGCGGCACGGGGAAAGGTATAAAGATTTACTGAGAGAAGGAGAGAGACTATTTAAAAAATTCTATCATTATCCACGTGTAATGTGGGAGGTGGGAGGGGAGTTCTGAGGAGACTAGAGGCTAGAAGGAAGGGGACATAGGTAATCCACGTGAAGGGCTTATAAAAATGGGTAGGACACATGTGAGGGATGAGAAAGTGCATATGAGGGGTAATTTAGTGCACATGTGAGGGTGGAGTCAGTGCACATGAGGGGAAATACAGTGCTCATGTGAGGAGGGAAATCCAGATTACATAAAGGAAATTCAGTGCACATTTGAGGGGAAGGTCAGTGCACGTGAGAAGGGGAAAAATGAGTGCGCCTGTGAGGGATTAGAGGCAGTCTTATTCATCATATTTATATTGTGTTATTTAAGTCCTAGTTGATTGACTACACACACACACACACACACACACACACACACACACACACACACACACACACACACACACACACACACACACACACACACACACACACACACACGCGCGCGCGCGCATACACAGACACACACACACAGACACACACACTTGTAATTTAAGAGAGAAAGTAATGAGGTGCAGGTAACCCAGGTAGGTTGTGGCCCTTGCGGCGTGGCTCTAGCAGTGTGGCCCTTGCCGTGTGGCTCTAGCAGTGCGGCCCTTGCCGTGTGGCTCTAGCAGTGTGGCCCTTTCGGTGTGGCTCTAGCAGTGTGGCCCTTGCGGTGTGGCTCTAGCAGTGTTGTCCTAGCGGTGTGGCTCTAGCAATGTGACCTTAGCGGTGTGGCCCTTGCGGTGTGGCTCTAACAGTGTGGCCCTTGTGGTGTGGCTCTAGCAGTGTGGCCCTTGCGGTGTGGCTCTAGCAGTATGGCCCTTGCAGTGTGGCTCTAGCAGTGTGGCCCTTGCGGTGTGGCTCTAGTATGGCCCTTGCAGTGTGGCCCTTGCGGTATGGCTCTAGCAATGTGGCCCTTGCATTTAGCGGTCTGCACGTCGCACCTGCCCAAGGTATACAGTATCTGTATCCGTCTGAACAGTAAAGATCTGAACTTGGATTATGTATCAAGAATTAAGAAGTGTCTAAGTCCAGTAAGCTAGGTGAGAACGCGGGTACCGTGTCTGTCTCGCAGTTGGAAGACGGAGGATCGAGCCTCCATCATTCCTTGAGCTGTATGACCCACAAGTCGGCACTCATCATCAAAAGTAATAACGAGAGGCACGGTGACTGGGGTTAGAAAGTGCTTTAAGGTAGCCAGAACCTACAAAGGAGATCTATGCGAAGGGTCAAACGTAATTCAAGGAATTACGCAAGTTTTAAATAGTGATTATAAGTACAGTGTAATGGATTAAAAGTACTTCTAGGCACACTGTAATAAGAGAAAATAATTGTTTATATGCGCGTATAGTAGGTTGAAAGAACCTTTAGGCTTCAAGCCATTGGTTAAAATCTACTCTAAGGCACTTTATCATGGAATTCAAGTTCCTTGGGGATTGCGACAAGGAAAATAGTGGAAAGTACTCAGGAAGTAGCGCAAGTTATTAAAGGAGTTTAATGAGTAGTTACGCAGGAGGGTAGGCTTGGGATCATCACTGCACAGTGTATGTGAACCAAAGATTAATGTTTCATATACCATTAGGCGAAACGTTTCGCCAATAAAGATACTCGAATGATGGAAATGCGTGGGTTTCAGCACTCATGGGAAGCCTGTGTGGTAGGTCTCAGTACCCAGAAGTGGCCAAGGGGTTATAGGTTTCAGAACCCAGGGATAGCCAAGGTGGTAGGTTTTAGTACCCAGGGATGGTGACTAGAGCAAAAACAGCCGACAAGTGGGTATACAGGCATGCAGTACAGGGCGAGCATTTATTTTATAATTTATACTCAGGATTTATCTTTAGCAATTCTATATGAAAGAAACCCGAAGTTACTCCATAAATATACATTCTGGTGAGGTGGAGAGGGCAGGAGAGGTCACGCCATACGCAACGAAGACGGGAAAGTGGGAGGTCAGGTCACAGGTGACGTCGTGTGGGCCGGTTCTTGTTTTGGAAGGTTAAATAGCATTAGACATGACTTTTTTCTGGGTTGTAAACTATGATTTACCTAAGTGCCATTATGTATGCCGTTGAAGACACTTCTTTCTAACATTGCCATTCACTGTTTGGATGAAGGTGACCTTATCGTCCACCTCGAGGCGTGGGAGATTGTCTCTGTGTTACGAATCCGGAATACGCAATTGTGTTTCTGAAAATTGACATCCAGGCTACGTGCAGTCTCACCCAAATAATAGTAGCCACACCCATTGTCGGGAATGGTGTACATGCCGGCTTTGCTTGTCAGTGATCTCTGGAGGTTGGTACAGGTAATGTTCTTGAAGATTTTGGAGAATATTACTCTAATGTAGATGTTGGACTTTTGGAAAGTAGATGCGATGTGGATGGCTGTTGGGTTAGTGGGAAGAATGATAGGGATGTTAGCTCTTCTGTTTTCTTTAGGGTTTGACAGTGCTATGCTCTAAGTAGAGCAGCCAGATGACATGTGAGGTTAATATCAGTAGCACATTCCATTTTTAAGTGTTCTACGTAGCCATCACTGCAGTTAAATTTATGGCATCGTTCAAAATGGGAGATGAAATTTTGGAAGGGTAAAGGTAAATACATTTCAGGAGTTATGATTCAGTTTAGCAAAGCATTGGCCTGGTCCATGTAAATTGAGGGGAAAAAATGCCTTTCTATTTGGGACATTTTATTTTCTCACTCCACTTCATTCTCGAACGCAAGGAAATCGCCAAGGTTGATAGACTCATTTCTCTTTGCACTGGTCAAGTAATTGTTACATTACACCTACTCTCTGGGAATTCAACATCCACGTCGCAATAATAATCTCCAAAACTATCAAGGCCATCACCTGCCCCAACATCTGTGAATTCTCCAACAACACAGCCAGCGCTTATTCCCTGCACAGAGTGTGACAGGTATTGCATAAGAGACTGCATGCAGCCTTGATATTAGACTTTAGAAACAAATACGCATGCAGGAACCATAACAAGCAACACATACGCCATACATGGAGACAAACTCTTATTCCGCATGGTATGGAAGAAGGTCTAACTCATCTAAACAGGGTGACAGCATTAGGAAGTGCCTGGAAGCAGCTCTGTCATCAGAGTACATAAGAATCTTGAAAACCTATTCCTAAGTAACCTCCCAACACAAAACATCACCCATACATCGTCAAAAATAAATGCCTGCTCTTCATTACGTTTCTTAATGCCAACTAGTACCCAGAAGTGTAAATCTGCGCACTCAGGGATTTTAGGGCTGTAGGTCTTAGCATCGAGGGATGGCCAGGGAGTAGGTCTTAGCATCGAGGGATGGCCAGGGAGTAGGTCTCAGCATCGAGGGATGGCCAGGTTGGTAGATCACATCCAGCATTCGATTTTGGCCATAGTGGTAGCATCAGGAACCTCAGATTGCACGAACATGCACAAAAACTTTGCTAGTAGGCCATCAGGTGCTCACTGCGTGAAGACGAAATAAACACACACACACACACACACTCTCACACACACACACACACACACACACACACACACACACACACACACACACACACACACACACACACACACACACACACACACACACGGGAAAGGTAAAAAGCTTTATACTCACTGCCATGAGGAAAAAACTTGGCATATATTTCTTTGAAGGCGTCTTCCTGCACCACCCCTTCCGGACACTCCTGTTGGGAAAGTGGGGCGGATATTAGTCAGTTAAAAGAGGAAGTAATGCCACATATCCATGTAATAAAAAAGAGCGCACTGTATGGTGTGTGTGTGTGTGTGTGTGTGTGTGTGTGTGTGGAGGGGGGTCTGCTCCATTCCAGGTTAGACAGAAGGAATCTTGCTTCACGAACCTACGGAAGTTCTACGACAGGATGACACAATTTAGGAAGGACAGAGTCCGGTGGTCACACTTGCGACTGTCGTCAGGATGGCCGCTGGTTAAATCCCTGGAAGAAGAATTGCCTCCAGTGTTTTGTACAACTATATAATCCACAAAAAACATAAAATTGTATTAATTATTCAGTAAATGTATTGTACTTTATCACAAGTTCACTAACAGTAAGTTATAAGCGGCTGTGGACACTTGCTTTGCTACATTCGGTTATTCAGCGTTTATAATCTTTCGGAGCTACCAAGTAGTTAAACGACCAGGTACAGCCATTGAAGTTAAGAACTTAGGTAGCTTTAAGAATAGGTTGGGCTTATATGAGTGATATTTCCCTGTAATTATCGGCATTAAATTCCTACAATTAGAGGGAAATGAACACGAATGTAAACACTTAAACACCTCTATTGAAGTTTGGGTCCTGAAACCTTGATCACTTTCAATACGTGAATATTAAAGAATACAGGCTATATATTTTATATATATATATATATATATATAATATATATATAATATATATATAATATATATATATATATATATATATATATATATATATATATATATATATATATAATATATATATATATAATACATCTAAGAGCAATGTGTGGTGTAAATATATATGCAAAAAATTCGAGTGTGAAATTAAGAGAAGTGTGGAGTTAATAAAAGCATTAAATCAGAGGGGCAGAAGTGGGGTTGTGACGGTGGTTTGGTCATTTAGAGAGAATGGATCAAAGTAGAATGACATGGAAAGCATATAAATCTATAGGTGAAGGAAGGAGGGGTAGGGGTCGTCCTCGAAAGGGTTGGAGAGAGGGGGTAAAGGAGGTTTTGTGGGCGAGAGGCTTTGACTTCTTGCGTGAGCGTGTTAGATAGGAGTGAATGGAGACGAATGATACTTGGGACCTGACGATCTGTTGGAGTGTGAGCAGGGTAATATTTAGTGAAGGGATTCAGGGAAACCGGTTATTTTCATATAGTCGGACTTGAGTCCTGGAAATGGGAAGTACAATGCCTGCACTTTAAAGGAGTGGTTTGGGATATTGGTAGTTTGGAGGGATATGTTGTGTATCTTTATATGTGTATGCTTCTAGACTGTTGTATTCTGAGCACCTCTGCAAAAACAGTGATAATGTGTGAGTGTGGTGAAAGTGTTGAATGATGAAAGTATTTTCTTTTTGGGGATTTTCTTTCTTTTTTGGGTCACCCTGCCTCGGTGGGAGACGGCCGACTTGTTGAAATATATATATATATATATATATATATATATATATATATATATATATAATATATATATATATATATATATTAGGAGAAAAGTAGTAACAGTAGTTGGGTGAAGTGCAGGACACTGCCGGAAATAGAGAAGGGTTTATCTTAAGCTTTTGTCCCTGAGAAGCATGTTCTAATATCGTATAGGCTGACGTGGTGGAAATGTTATAACTGATAGGTTTTTCGAACGATAGTGATGGAAGTGTCAATGAGTGATGGTTCAAGGCAACGGCGTAGCTTCAAGTTTGGTTCCCTGTAGATCACTTAAGCTTCTTTGTAATGCAGATGTCCCTCAGTGGTTCTTTGTTTGACACGTGTGTTTCCAGTGTCATACCCACTTCAGGCGCATTTATGTTCATAAATTCTCGTGAGCAAGTCTCTCCCAGTTCCCCCTCCCTTCTTCACATGCACTTTATCGCACAGGAAATGGCATAGAACCTTTATTTTTTTCGAGTGAGCATTAGATGGGGATTCTTGTCTGATGAGGTCGCTAATTAAAGCGGTGGCAGTTGTGTTGACTTTGATATTGCCTTTGATAAAAATCCGCGTGGTGTGTCTGTAGCCACGTCACTGCACTGTAACGCCAGATATTTCTGGTTACATCTGGCGGTCGGTGGATCGTGTACATTGGTTAGAGCTCTGCATCTGCACTACTGGGGAAAAATGAGACAAAATGTCTACCAAATGTAGGTACATTCTTATTCCAAGAATTCAGGGCTAGAAATACTTAAAGCCTTTACGCAGGAATCCTATGACTTCCAAGCGTTTGGTTCAAAAGTAATGCTTCGAAAGTGTACAAGGTCATGCGTGTTGGTAGGCTTCCTATAAACCTTGAAGTGCAAGGTATACTTTGGAGTTCTGCAGAGGAGTGTGTCGTGGAAGGAAAGCTTGCTATCGGCTTCGAGTTCAAGTGTAAATTGATTGTTGGTTCTCTGTTGTTGGTTTTATGCAAGAGCTCTTTGAAGTTCAGCCGTTTGGGATAGACGACTAGGATATTGTCAACATGCTGCTTCTATGTGACGGTGACCGGGTCTGTGCAGTGAAGGCCTTCAGTCTCCAGGTTTTTCTAGAGGACTGGTCATAGTCATGCCAAAGCACTTTGAAAAACTTGTCTTCAGAACATAAGCTGAGGTTGAAACTTAGGTCCACTAAAGCAGTAAAATCAGAGCATATCGTATGAAGATAGTGTTCACCAGTAAGCTTTCCGTGAACAATATCATTGGGGAAGTTAATGGGAATATTGATATAAGAAGGAAGTAACATCAAGGATGCCAAGTGTTTGTTCCTCAAGAAGATGCTAAACATGTGACTCAATTAGCTTTTGGGTATAGATAAATGGTTCAGAGAATCGACAACACTTGGGTATCTTTATTGTGGAAACGTTTCGTCACACAATGGTTTCGTCAACCCAATACGAAGTAAAATGGTAAAGATCAGAAGCAGTTTGAGGTAATCAGTCCCTCATCTTCAGGCAGACGGACTGATTACCTCAAACTCCTTCTGATCTTCACCGTTCTATTTTGTATTGGACTAATGAAACCAATGTATGACGAAACGTTTCCACAAGTGGCCAACAAATTTGTGATGGGGGCACTCCCTGTGCCCGAGGCTAGAGGTCTGGGTGAAACTGGTAACCAAAGGATTTTCGCCCTTCTAGGCTCTATTGCTACTCCTTTGAAGCTCCTGGTCTTGGCTCATCTCTCACACGTCACACTAATGTGAGAACACCCCAATAAACCACAGGAAACCATCTGTCTTTACCTCCAGTCTGCTCTGCATTAATCAGCGTTACCAGTCAACAATGTCATCTGCTTAAAGGTCAAGCAGGACTGGCCAAGCAGACAATCAAAACATTGACATTGTGGTGGTGCTATGGTGGTGATACTGTAGTGTTGGTGCTGTACAAGTGCTGTATTCATCTGGGTGATTATGGTAGTCATCTCCTGGGTGATGCTGTGATAGTCATCTGCATGTTAATGTGATAGTCATCTCCAGGGTGATATGTTAATCAAATCCTGGGTGTAATCATCTGATTGATGCTGTAATAGTCATCTCCACAGCGGTTGTGGTAGTCATCTCCTGGGTGATGCTGTGATAGTCATCTGGGCGATGTTGTGATAGTCATGTCCTGGTTGATGCTCTAGTAGTCATTTGGTGATGCTGTGGTAATCTCCTGGGTGATGCTATGGTAGTCATCTCCTGGGTGATGCTATAGTAGTTAGCTACCATTTTGTCCTAGGCACATGTCGATTAGACACTAGGCGTAGTCTGGGTGATGCTGTGATAGTCATCTGAGTGATGCTGTGATAATCTCCTGAGTGATGCTGTGGTAGTTATCTGGGTGATGTGTTAGACATTTAGGTGATGCTGTGGTAGTCATCTCTTAGATGATGTGTGGGATGCTGGCATTGATGGTGGTGTTGATCGTACGTCCGCCCACTGTTCATTCACAGCTATTGATCGGCTTCGTTGCCAGAAGTTGGTAAACCTTATCATACTGCGGAGCTGAGAAGCCTCAGCTAGGACTTTACTCAGCACACGCTAAGATGCTGCTCTAAGCACATGCTAAGATGCTGTGCACAGCACACGCTAAGATGCTATGCTCAACATACGCTAAGGTGCTGTTCCCAGCACATCCTAAAATGGTGTTCTCAGCACACGCTGAGATGACGTTCCCAGCACACGCTATGATGCTGTTCCCAGCACACGTTAAGATGCTATGCTCAGCATACGTTAAGATGCTGTGCGCAGTACACGCTAAGATGCTGCCCAAAGCAATAGAAATCGCATTGTTATATAATAACCTCGGTACTAGATAAACCTCAGCACTAGATAAAATTCTGTGATATATGAACCTATGTGTTATATAAATCGGTAGTATATAAATATCTGTGCTACATAAAGCTCTATGCTACATTAACCTGTATGCTATATAAATCTCAACACATCACAGTGATGTCAACATTAATACAAACATTGTCAGCGTTCGAAAGTTAACGTCAGAATAATCAACATTCGACACTTGCTTTAAAAAAATGGCGAAAATTAATTTATTTTATAAACGGAAGTACTGACGATGAACTTTGGGAAATTTAGCGTTGAATTCAATGGGATTTGCAGCATTTTGTACTTCCAGTATTGTACATCTAATATTGTACGTTCGGTAATGTTGATGGACTGATTACATTTTCTTTATTTCACCACTATACCTACTGCCTCTGTATCTGACTGAAGAAACCTACTGTGTAAGCGAAACTTTTCAATAATAAAGATACCCAACTGTTGCACGTGTGTCTTAATCATCAACGTTCAGTAATGCACGTTTTTATTATGGTGTGTACATTTAACATGGGTGTGTGTGTGTGTGTGTGTGTGTGTGTGTGTGTGTGTGTGTGTGTGTGTGTGTGTGTGTGTGTGTGTGTGTGTGTGTGTGTGTGTCTCCCATACACTGTGGTGTGTAGTGACCCTTGATACGGGTGACAGCTGAATAAGTTTCCTCAGGTCTTAAGAACGTGACCAGGAAGATCCCTTCCACGTTGATTCTTAACTACAAAATGTAAAAGCCGCTTGCAAAGAATATAATACTCGCTTAAAAAGGTCTGTAATGACATATAATGGGCCATTTCAGAGACATTTCATGGCCACTCACCGCAATATTTAATGGAGTTTACGAGAGACAAGTAATGGCACTAACAAAGACATAATAACCACTCAAAAGGATTATATAATGGAACTTAGGAGCGAAGGTACATTGGCGCTCAGGGTCACAAGTAATGGATAATTATGTTGTTATACCCCGCGGACAAGAGTGGAAATTATGATACCATTATTCACTCAAGGAAGAAATGCTCAGAGACTGCAATTGTAAGGCTCCTTTACAAACTGATGTAAGGACTCTTTAGGCACATAAGGATCCCATACAAAACCAAATAAGAATTCCTCAAAGAAGATGTATAAATATCGCGTTCAATAATATTCCATATGGAAACAGAAACTCTGGAGATTACTCACGAAATCGTAATGACACGATTGCAAACAAACCATACCACGAGCGGGGTTAGAACCCGCGATCAGAGATTCTCAAAACTCCAGACCGTCGCGTTAGCTAACGCGACGGTCTGGAGTTTTGAGAATCTCTGATCGCGGGGATCACGGGTTCTAACCCTGCCCGTGGTATGGTTTCTCTGGAGATAAATTGGTCTGTATATTTCGACCCATTTTTGGGAACCTTTTAGCAAATGTTGAAGAGCATCCCAGATTCTGGGATGCTCTTCATATACATGTTAATTAATCACCCAGGGTTTGTGTGTCCATGTGAGTTATTAATGAACAATGACAATTGTTCATTACACTTTAGATCATTTTGAATGTGATTAATAACTAAAGACAATATTCAGTAACATAAAAGGATTCGTCGAAGTCATGTGAGGATTCTTCCCATAGAAGGTCATGTAAGGGCTACACACAAACACTAAACACAGACCAATGACGGGCCCGTGACAGACATAAGAATACAAGAATGGAGGAACACTGCAGCAGGCCTACTGGCCCAAACTATTCCGACCCACCCACTTGTCCAGTCTTTCCCCAGAGCTTCCCAGGAATTAGCTTCAATACCTTAGTTACTAATGAAACCCGGTGAAGAATTCCATCATTATTACCAACACTGTCTCTCTCACGTATTTATTCACCTTTTGTATTTCTACTCAGCTGAATATACATTTAGAACCACACGAGTGAAAGAACTTTGTTTCAGCAAGTGAAGGAACTCTTCAAGTTTCAGCAAATGAAGGAACTCTTCAAGTTTCAGCGAGTGAAGCAATTCTTCAGGTTTCACGGTCGAAAAGTAAAGTTTAAAAGCTTGACTTTGGTAAAATTTTCCCTTCAGCACCAGAAACCTGTTGACCAGCCCAGGCTCATCCTTTAGCCAGTGTTGCCAGAACTCTCAAACCTGTTGTCATTGTTACCAAAGCTCTTCCTCCCGTTATCGGTATTAACAAAATCTTGTGTTATTATAACCAAAGTTCTTGTGTTGTCAGTGTTACCAAAGCTCTTGTGTTGTCATTGCTACCAATGCTCTTGTGTTGTCAGTGTTACCAAAGCTCTTCCTCCAGTTCTTAGTGCTATCAAAGCTATTCCTTCTGGTGTCAGTGTTACAAAAGCTTTTCCTGTTGTCAGTATTACCAAATCTCTTTCTTCTGGTGTCACTGTTACTACAGCTCTCATGTAGCCTGAAAACTCTCGTGCAACAGTATTACCAGAGCTCTCATGGAAACAGTATTACCAGAGCTCTCATGGAAACAGTATTACCAGAGCTCTCATGGAAACAGTATTACCAGAGCTCTCATGGAAACAGTATTACCAGAGCTCTCATGGAAACAGTATTACCAGAGCTCATGGAAACAGTATTACCAGAGCTCTCATGGAAACAGTATTACCAGAGCTCTCATGGAAACAGTATTACCAGAGCTCTCATGGAAACAGTATTACCAGAGCTCTCATGGAAACAGTATTACCAGAGCTCTCATGGAAACACTATTACCAAAGCTCTCATGGAAACACTATTACCAAAGCTCTCATGGAAACAGTATTACCAAAGCTCTCATGGAAACAGTATTACCAGAGCTCTCATGGAAACAGTATTACCAGAGCTCTCATGGAAACAGTATTACCAAAGCTCTCATGGAAACAGTATTACCAGAGCTCTCATGGAAACAGTATTACCAGAGCTCTCATGGAAACACTATTACCAAAGCTCTCATGGAAACACTATTACCAAAGCTCTCATGGAAACAGTATTACCAAAGCTCTCATGGAAACAGTATTACCAGAGCTCTCATGGAAACAGTATTACCAGAGCTCTCATGGAAACAGTATTACCAGAGCTCTCATGGAAACAGTATTACCAGAGCTCTCATGGAAACAGTATTACCAGAGCTCTCATGGAAATAGTATTACCAGAGCTCTCATGGAAATAGTATTACCAGAGCTCTCATGGAAATAGTATTACCAGAGCTCTCATGGAAATAGTATTACCAGAGCTCACATGGAAATAGTATTACCAGAGCTCTCATGGAAATAGTATTACCAGAGCTCTCATGGAAACAGTAATACTAGAACTCTGGTGTAGTCAGTATTACTAGAGCTCTGGCGCAGCCACTGCTACCCAGAGCTCTGGTGTAGCCAGTGTTACCAAAACTGCTTCACAGTAGTTCTAGTAACACTGGCTACATGACAGAGCTCCAGTAATGAATTTTCCATATATATATAAAATGTTTGTGTGTGTGTGTGTGTGTTGAATTTAACGAGGTAATTAGAGGCACATAACAGCCAGGCTTCTGGGAACACCACACCAAAATGAACTTTTTTTTTAATTTTTACGGGAAGGTTAATTTAAATGAACTGGTGTATAAGTTGATGTGTGAAACACACACACACACACACACACACACACACACACACACACACACACACACACACACTACACCTGGTACGTCAGGTGTACACTTCCAAACAGGTGCTGCATACTGGAGTATGCAGCACCTGTTTGGAACCCACACCTGGTCAAGCAAGTCAAGAAATTAGAGAAAGGGCAGAGGTTTGCGACAAGATTAGTTCCAGAGCTAAGGGGAATGTCCTACGAAGAAAGATTAAGGTAAATCAGCCTGACGACACTTTTGGACAGGAGAGTTAGGGGAGACATAACGACATACAAAGTACTGCGTGGAATAGACAAGGTGGACAGAGACAAGTTGTTCCAGAGAGGGGACACAGAAACGAGGGGTCACTCTTGGAACTTGAAGACTCAGATGAGTCACAGGAATGTTAGGAAGTATTTCTTCAGTCATAGAGTGGTCAAAAAGTGGAACAGTCTGGCGAGTGATGTAGTGGAGGCAGGAGCCATACATAGCTTTAAGACTAGGTATGATAAAGCTCAGGGACCAGGGAGAGAGAGGACCTAGTATCTTTCAGTGAAGAGGCGGGGCCAGGAGCCGAGTCTCGGCCCCTGCAACCACAATTAGGAGAGTACAATTAGGTGTGTACACACACACACACACACACACACACGTGTGTGGAAGACGGCAAATGAAGTCCCAATATTTTAGAAAAGAGACTGATAGGCTGTACAAGAGACTGGTACAAAAGCTACAGGAGCAGGCAGGAATACCAGGAAAAGCACTGCAATGTATTAGGGAATACCTGACAGGAAGGAAACAATGAGTGATGGTACGTAACGAGACGTCGGAGTTCCACAAGGGTCAGTCTTAGGTCCGGTTCTGTTTTAAGTATGTGTGAATGACATGGCGGAAGGGATAGATTCAGAGGTGTCCCTGTTTGCAAACGACGTCCGACAAATGGCTCCAGAGTTTAACCCCACCAAGTGTAAAGTCATGAAGCTTGGAGGACAAAGTAGACCGCAGGAGTACAGGCTTGGTAGTCAGAGGCTGCAAACCTCACTCATGGAAAAGGATCTTGGAGTGACCAACATACCGAGC